AGAAATGATCCATCCAGCGAGGCCGGGGACTGATTCGGTACAAGTTGTCACCAAACCACCCCGTCACCTGGCAGGCCTCCTGGCCCCAGGAATCCACTCCCTCGAGCACCGAAGCTGCATCATGAAGGGGAACCCCGTCTCCTGCTCGCTGAGTGAGCCTGCTTCCGTACACCCGGTCACCCTCCATTTGCCGCGAATGCCTGGGCCGGTGCCTTAACCACTGTGTCCGCGCCAAGAACTCAGGAGTCTTGTACACAGTAGGCGCTCAGTCAAGAATCGCTAATGAAATCTGTGCAAAGTTTTGAAATGTATGTCTACATGAAGGGAAGAGTCGTGAAGGCAAGGGTGATCGGGGAAACAGGAGGCGGCAGCGGTGAGAAGGAGGGCTGAGGACAGAAAGACAAAGGGCCTCTGGTGCTGGGCTCTGATAGAATGAAGTTACCTACACTACCCTACGAGCCACCCCCCCCCCCCCCCAGCCAGAAATGCCTCTGTGACAAGCTCATGGGAAAGCTGACCCCCCCCTCCCCCCGTGACCCACCTGCCAGAGCTTCAGGTGCTGGGGAGGTAAACAGCCCAGGACAGGCTTCCTCTCCCTCTCCCTGTGCGTGCGTGCGGGCGGGCGGCATGGAAAGACCGACTCCCAACACAGTAAGAGACCCCTTAGTCTTGGAAAATAACAAGCAGGCCGATCATCTGAAGACCGGGATGCAAAAAAATAATAATGGCGGGGTGGGGGGAATTCTCGTCTGGTTAGGTTCCTCTCTGTTCTCCGAGATGTGTCTGAAATGAGAAGACCCGTGCTGTGTGAGTGAGTGAGTGTGTGTGTGTGTGTGTGTGTGTGTATGTGTGCATCACAGGAGGTAAAGAAAAGGCAGTGGAGGGCCGGCCTGCCCACTGAGGCAGGGTGAAGCTTGCCCACAGGCAGGGCCACGCAGGGGAGGACGGCCTGAGTGCGAGCACAGTGCTGGCAGCCAAGGCTTGGCCTGGGGCGCGGCGCAGGACGAGGTGCTGCCTGTGGGGGGCGATGTGGCCAGCGGCAGGTGCCAGTCCTGGCCACGACCAGCCGTGAAGGCCGAAGGGGACCATTGCAATTCCTCCTCCTGCACATTTCCATGGTCGTGGCGACTGACAGGCTTGATGGCGAGCTTGCCTGTCTGGAAACCACGTTGGCTGATGTTAACAAGTAAAATGTGAGAAGCGATGTTTTTGTCATCGCAGGGAAGCGCCTATCCGAGAGCTCGCCACGAGCCTCAGCAAGGGGAGCCCCGGTGCCCGCGGAGGCGACAGGAGCCCGGGCGCAGGGCCCTGGGCTCAGAGAGGGGACGGAGGTTCTTTCCCAGGGCTTCTGGGCAACCCTTTCTGGGATGTGGACAGCAGGGAAGGAGGGAGAAAGAGCCCGCTCCTTAACTGAGCATGGGAACACCAGAACCGAACTCTCCGGACAGCACGACCGACAGCCCGCATGCGGCTCAGAGTCACGGCAGGCAGGGCTGGCCGGGCGCTCCCACCCCCTCTCGCTGCGGGAGCGGCTTTTCTGGCTGAGGTGGCAGCTCTCGCTTTCCTGTTGGAGAGGAGAAAACGGGATGTTTTATGAAGTCTGCGGGGGAAAACCTGGAGTTGACGACCTACCACTTAATGCCGTGTCACAGCATCCTTTTTCTTCAAGGCATTCTTTGTAAGATTTTGATTTTGAGAGAGAGAGAGAGAGGAAAGGAGAGAGAGAAACATCGACATGAGAGCAAAACGCTGATCGGCTGCCTCCCGCACGCCCGTGGGGGATGAGCCTGCAACCTGGGCGGGCGGGCATGTGCCCCGACCGGGAATCAAATCGGCAAACCTTCAGGGCACTGGGCGACACTCCGCTCACTGAGCCGCACGGGCCAGGGCACGGAAGACGTTCTGAAGAGCCAATCCCGTGGGGGTTGGGGTGGAGGGGAGATGTTTTGAGATGAGTTTTCTTAACGGAGTTTCCAAAAAACAGCACCGAGTTACTGCTAATGCCAACAGGAACAGCACCTGATCGCTTGACTCTTTGGTGAGGAGGATGCATTTAGCCGGGGTGGGGGAGGGGTAAGGGAAGGGGGGGGGTGCAGGGTTGGGGGGAAACGGGTGGAGACCAAAAGCATGTCTGCAGGCCAAAGACAATACAAAAGGATTTGGAAACTCGGAGAGGAAGTCTGCCATCCAGACCACAGCTGCTCAGACATTTCGGGGGGGAAAGGAACCCTAACAAGCGCTCCACGAGAGGGACCCGGAAGGCGATGGCGAGGGGGAGGCCATGCCAGCGCCCCGAGTAAGGGGACGCGCCGTGTTACGCGACAGGAACTGTCCGTTCCAGGCCGCAGGCCCGGGGGGAAGGGCAGCTGTACGCTATTTAGTTTGGGGCACCTCGTTAATAAAGAGGGAATTGGGAGCAGAGGGAAAGAAAGGATTGAGTGGGAGGGGCCAGCTTTGAACAGAAGATTGAAACAATGACGTAGGCAGAGCTGGCAAAAAAACACACACAAACACACACACAAAAGCAACAACACACACATTAAGAAGAAAAACCTCAGCCCTGAAATAAAGAGGTGGAGGAAGGAGACTCCTAGGAAGTGACTGGGCAGTGGAATAGCGGGGAGTGGCGGGGGCAGAGAGAGGCCAGATGCCCCGCAGCCGGATGGCACAACGGCCGCGGTCTTTGGGCACCTACGTGTCCTCGGGTCCCGGGCCCCGTCCCCCGCTCCGCAGAGCACTGCCCCGCACACACAGAGCGATGGGGCAGGCAGGAAGCGAAGGAGACCCCATGGGTTAAGGCGGCGGGACTTGAACCGCACCAGGAATTTGTAAGACACGTGTGGGAGGAGACAGCCTTGAAGGGACCTGGCGATGACAGGGTTATCCTGGTGCCCAATAGCACCTTCCTGACAATGACTCTCACCGACACGGGGCCACCACGACAGGAAACCAGAGCCACTCCAGTGAGGGGGAGCGGGGAGGCACACCCTCAGAGGGGGGTGCAGCCTGTCACACGGGAAATCATATGGATTAGGGGGTGCAGTCAGAGCAGGGGTGACGGGGGGCAGGGGCAGGCGGGCAGGGGCCTGGGGGCTCTGGAGGGGTGCCTCCAGGAGGGAACGCGGCCCCCAGCACAACTGGTGCCAGCCAGCAGGGCCTCCAGAGATGGGGAGCTGTCATTCTGGGCAGCTGAGCCATGAATTAATCATAGGTACCTAGAAAACCAGGGAAAACAAAAAGTTGTACAAGTAGGTAAATGAAATTATAAAACTCTACACGGCTCAGCTGTGATTAATATTTATAGAGTTAGAATAATGAAAACACTGAATATTAATAAAACCCCAAATTATTATTTAATCACACTGGAAGACAGAGGGAGGAGAGGACTGAGCGTGTAGGGGGCTGGGGAGCGGGGGGAGGGGGAGGGCTGGGGCGGGGGAGGGAAGTGTAGTGCAGAGTGCACGCGTGTGAGTGTGCGCGGAGCATGGTGTATGCGTGCGTGTGTGTGTGTGTGTGTGTGTGTGTGTGTGTGTGTGGTGTGTGCAGACGGGGAGTGTGTGAGTGGGTCCAAGTGAGTGCATTTATAGAACGCCATGCTAGTGAAATCGCCATTTTCCCGTGTAGAAAGCCAAGACATGCCTTAAACTTGAAAACCAATGAAAAATAGTACTAGAAGCATGTCAATCCATATATAATAGAAATAAATAACACAAATCCAGCTGAAACCTGGAAGCCATTGCTCAGGGGAGCGGGGCGAGGGAGGATCACGCCATTTTCCATAAGGGCTGTAATTTTTGCCTTTAGACACTCGACAAGTGTGCGATTTGATAATGTTAAAACTAAACCCCCCCTCAGCCCGATGGCCCCGTGGCGGAGAGGGAGCTGCAGGCGGTGGAGGGAGGAGGATGGCCCCGCGTCCCCTCTGGACCAGGTCGCTCAGCAGCGAGCCCCTGGGAGGAGAGTGTGGACGGACACCCTGAGCTCGGCCTGCAAGGCGGAAGCAGTGAGAACCCGGGGCTGCTCACAGGGCCCTGGGCAGGGCCAGGAGAGCCAAGCCTCCTGAGGCTGGGAGCCGGGGCCGGCCTACCCCGGGGATGCCAGCGTGTGGGCAGCCGGAGGAAGGCCATGAGGAGCAGGAGGATGAGGAAGGAGCACACCTGAGCGCCCGGAAAAGGGAGGGAACTTTGAGACGGAGCGGGCAACAATTTCAGAGACCGCAGAGAAGGGAGAGTCGGCCAGCGGGAGCCACAGGGGGTGGGAGGGGAGATGGTAAACCCAAGGCCCAGGGGGCCCTCTCCGGGAGGACACGGAGGGAGGCGGCATGAGGCGCAGCTGGGGATGACCAGTGAGGACAGGCCCTCCAGAGCCCTGCAGCTTCTCCGGGGGCGGAGAGCGGGACGCAGGACTGATGGGGGCTTGGCTTTGCTGTTTCTCAAGAGGCAAGCGACTGTCCTGTGCTCCCAAGTTGAGAGAGAGGGACGGGAAGTCTGACAACACAGCAGAGGGGTGATTCCAGCGAGCTTGGCCCCCGGGGGGTGAGTCACAAGGGGAGGCCGGGGTGCAGGGAAGGTAACTGCGGGCGAGCTGACAGGACTGGGAGGGTGGGGTGGGGGTGGAAGGCTTGGCTCCGTGAAGTAACAGGCAGCACTGAGTCCCGGGGCAACCGGGGTCGCTTTCAAATACAATAACGATGTTTGTAACCAGACTTTGCTTGGATCCTGCCTGAAACCATTCCTCCCAGGCCAGACGTGAGCCCACTGACTGTCCAAATATCGAACAAGACACAGCTTGGCACCTGCGCGATGCACAATGTGAAGCAATGAGCCACATCCACAGTGGCGTGTGAGGCCAGAATGGAAGTGGTCCTAAAGTTCCTTCTTTTAAAAAAGCGACTCTCCACGCGCGTTCCTTCCAGAATGCAATGGCCGCCACTGCGGCCAGCCACGGACGCCCACCGCCGGGGGGCCGCCCCCGGGCCTCCGGCCGGCGGGACCACTCACCTGGGTCGGTGGACGGGCACCTGCGGATGGTGAAGATCTGGCCCAGGTCCTCGTCCTCCTCGGGCAGGCCCTTCTGCAGCCGCTGCAGCTTGCGCAGGCTCTCGCTGCGCTGGTGCTTCATGGAGCGCACGTGCTGGATGAGGTTGAGCTTGGCCTTGGTGGAGTAGCTGCACAGGGCGCAGTGGTAGTAGCAGCTCTCGCCCTCCACGCTGCTCTCGTGCTGCTGCAGGTGCTGCCGGGGCGGAGAAGACGGACACGCCTTGGGTTAGCCACTCAGAGCCCAGCGCCACCCTGAGCCCGCCGCCGCCCTGGGCCCACCCCCACCCTGAGCCCACAGCCGTGTGCCCACCGCCGTCCTGGCCGCAGGCCGATTACGATTCCTTAGACGGTTTGTTCTGTGCCCCCTCACCCGCCCCACGGTGCCTTCTCCAGCAGTTCCCGGAGGACAGGCAGCAAGCTGCTCGCATTCCTGTGTCTCCTCCCCCCCACCCCCCGGCCCAGCGTCCCCTCCCCTGTGCTCTTCACGGGGCTGCAAATTCGAACGGACTGGACCTTTCTCGGCATATCCATGTTCCTGGCCCAGTAACGGAAGGTTCCCCTTCCTTTCTCCAAGGCGGCCTGCCTTGTGGAGGTCAGGGGCCAGCAAACCGCAGCCCGCAGGCCAATCCCACCTGCTGACTTGCTTTTGTGAATAAAGTTTTAAAGGGAACTCAGCCACGTACGTGACACGTATCATCCAGGGCTGCTCTGAAAACGCCACGGCTGCAGAGCTACCACCCAGACGGGAGGTCCTGCCAGCCTGAGCTGGAGCTGCCGGGCCCTGGGCAGCGAGTGTGAGTCTAAGGACGGCCCGTAAGGTCCCGGGGCCTGGACAGACCCCCCCCCCCCCCCGAGGTCAGTGACACGAGCCGAGGAAGAAGGCGCCAGTGTTTGTGGTAAGAACTACAGTCTACCGGGAGAACTAAAAAACAACAACAACAACAAAAAGACAGAAACGTACATTTCTCCCCACTGAGTTCCCTGCCAACATCTCAGGGCCACCCGGCTCCGTGCACGGACAGTCACACGGCTCTGGGTGGTGTCTGTGGGCACGGCGCTGACCCCGGGGAGCCCACGGGCCGGCGGGGGGCGGGCCACGCAGGGGTACGTCACGGGTGCAGAGCAGCAGGCCCAGTGCCCGCGCCTCAGAGGAGACAGAGATTTCCCAAGGACAACATTCAGGCCTCCCTGAGGATGAAAAAGCAAGGGGCCCTTCCCGGGAGCCGTGAGGGGACGGGCGTGCTGGCTCTGGGCACACAGAAAGGCCCGTGGGAGGGAGCCGGGCGCTTCCCCGCTGGGTGCACCCGGAGCAGGGACACAACGCCGAAGCTGGCGACTGAGCCACGCCAGCCGGCCAGTCTGCGGGAAGGAGGGGACCACAGCCTGACTCTCAGCATCCCTCCTGGAGGAGGAAATTCAGATGATGGAAGCGTCTGATGGATCGTCCAGGGCTGCTCTGAAAATGCCCCTCTCTCCCTCCTCGCCCACAGCCCCAGAGGCCAGGTCCGAGTCGCTGCGCAGAGCACACAGCAGGTGCCTCGGAAGTCACCTTGCTGCTCCCCCGCCTGCCCAGCGCCCGCCCCGTTCGAAGCACACACCCCGACCACCGTGTCTGCACACAGCCCGACCACCGTGTCTGCACACAGCCCGACCACCGTGTCTGCACACAGCCCGACCACCATGTCTGGTCCAGTGACAGTCAGACCCCGAGAAAGCAGCGCCGTTGGAATGCCGGGCACGAGGCCCGCCAGCACTTCCTACCAAACAGCGTGGCTCCGGGGCTCATCTGCTCCCAGGCGCACGTCCAACGCTCCCAGAACCGGGAGACCCTGCCAGGAGCACGTTCCCACCTTCCTGGAGGAGGCAATGTGAGTACTCAAGTATGTGTTGTAGAAAACTCGTGTGTGTGTGTGTGTGTGTGTGTGTGTGTGTGTGTGTGGTGTGTCAGGGGACGGGGAGCAGGCCAAGGCCCTCAGGCACGTACACGGGAGCAACTAATCCGCAGGCAGGGCGTGAAGGGCCCTCCAGGTGCCAAGAGAGAAAGCCCCTTCCTGCCCCACGGAGTGGGTGAGGTCACACAGCTGAGGGCAGAGCCGTGGCCACTGGCCAATGTCTCCACCGGTAGCAGCCACTCAAGTGCCAGGTCCCAACCAGGAGTTCAGAGAAGGAGCGAGCAGAGCTCAATGCTAACTTGTACAAGAAACTGCAACAACTTAAAATATAAAAAGCTGCCCTTCTCGAAACAGATCTGAGCCGTCTTGCCAGGCCCGCGTGGCTCAGGGGCTGAGTTCCGTCCTGTGAACCAGGAGGGCACAATTCGATTCCCGGTCAGGGCCCACGCCCGAGGGGCAGGCTCGGGCCCTGGTGAGGGGCGTGGAGGGGGGCAGCCAATCAATGATTCTCTCTCATCGTTGATGTTTCTCTCTTTCTCTCTCTCTCTCTCTCTCTCCCTCTCCCTTCCCCTCTGAAACCAATCAAAAGAAAAAGGAACAAAAACATTGAATGTGAGCCGTGGTTGATCTGCCGAGGCCTGGAGGGGGGTGAGCCGCACCGAAGCGCCCAGTTCCCAAAGCTACGGCCCGTTCTCCCGGGAGAGGGCCCGGTGCACGGACCTAAGGGAAGAGGTGAACGTGGGACGGGGGAGCAGGCGCCAGGGACTGCGGTCCTGGTCACCAAGAAATCACACCTATGAAAGCCTCCACAAAAACGGCCCAAGTGAGAGACAGCTGGAGAAATAACACGGACCCAGAGCACCCGTTCCATGGAGGCACCGCGGTGAGAGCATGAAGTCTGCAACCCGAGCCAGAGCGGTGAGCCTGAGCCCCGGGGCCCCGCGCCTTCCCGCAAAACGGGACTTCCTCCCGGGAAGGCGCTGATGCGTAAGCGTCACGCTTTACCATGGAGGCGAGGGCGCTTTTAGAGATGGCTGGGGTTTCTGGCCTCGGAGCCGGAAGGAAGGATACCACGGCCGAAAGGAACCGGGTACGAGTCAAGGTATCAAGTGTCGTTTGTCCGGAGGCTCGCGGGCTCCTGGGGGACCGCTCGGTGTGGATCCTAGCGACATGAGGGCCGTACTGCGGGCTCTGCTTTTCAGCAGCCGGTCTCCCCTCCAGCTCCCGGCCATCGGCACTCTCGGCGCCGGCCCGGACTCTCTGTTCTGCCACCCAGAGCCACTGGGAAAGGAAACGGGCACCCCCCCCCGTCCCCCCCGCAATGGGGAAGAAGAGAAGGAAGGCGGGCAGACAGCCATGGCCTCTCCCAGGGATCCTGGTCTGGGGAGCCTTTGGGGTCCTCTCTCAGAGACCCGCACAAAAGCCTCGTTCAAAATTCCGAGCTTGTGTTTGCACTTCCAGTTCATTCTCCAAGACACACACACACACACACACACACACACACACACACACACACGAAACACACTATTGCTCAGCTGCCAGGAAACACCTGCTTTCAAAGGTGACACCCTATCCCAAACCTGCACTCACCACCCGCGTCTCCTGCCGCTGGCCTGCGTGTGACAGATGCTGTTCTCACCACAGTCTGTGCGTTCTTGCTCGGGGTTTCAAAGGCTGCCTGGCCTGGTGCGAACAGGGACCCCAAGCTCGCAGCAGGGCCCTGACCTCCGCGGCCTCCTCCACACCATCTGGCCATTTCCTTCCCAGGCCACGAGGGGGTCAACGCCCTGGCCCAGTTGGCCAGATGCCCTCCCCCCTCCCGAGCAGCACCCCCCCCCCCCGCCCCCGGCCTCAGAATTCCACCTTTGGAAGCAACGTAATGAGAAGCAGCAGGGGGCGGGGGGGGTGCGCCACAGAGAGGCCCGGGAGGACTCCACTGGGCAAGCTCATCAGCCAAGGACATGCTCTCCCTGCAGAAGCCAGGAGATGTTTTCATTTGGAGGAGGAGGGAGAATAATTTGTTCCTGACCCAGCTAATTAGAATAGCCTCAGTTGGGATCACAATGTATTTAATTAAAGTCACTGTAATATAGGAAGAATCCTCAACGGCCCGAGCCCCAGTGGAGCATCCGTGAAGGCAGCGCCTGCTTTCGGAGCTCCTGCTCTCCTCCCTGGGACGGGATCCTTCTCCCCCGTGAACCCTCCACCCCCCGTCCTCTCGCCCCCGATCACAGAGCCCTCCATCCTGGAGCTTTCTCCATCTTTTACTCCGTGTTCTCTCTGCTCACCTCTGTCAGGTTGGGTGTATAGTTTAAAAAAAAAACAAAAACACAAAGGACAACATCAACTGTGGTTTGCGTGCTGCTTTAGAACCAAAGAAAATGGCTGCTGAACCCACGGGGCAGGGCCTGGCTTTTGGTTGATTCTACGTGTCTCCACGTTAGACACCACACACACACACACACACACACACACACACAGAATTGTCCCACCCGAGGGGCTGAACCTGCAGATGATGAAAACAGCAGCAGCAGCAGCAGGGACTTGAGAGGACATTCTAAGGAACGTGAGGGGGGCAATTCTTTGGCTGGAATGCCAATCCTATATGATAAAGGGCTAATATGCAAATTGACCAAACAGCGGATCAACCGGTTGCTATGATGCTCACTGACCACCAGGAGGGAAATACTCAACGCGGGAGCTCCCCCCTGATGGGCAGTGCGCTCCCACAGGCAGAGTGCCGCTCAGCGAGAAGCTGGGCTCATGGCTGGCGAGCACGGTGGCAGTGGCAGCAGCCTCTCCTGCTTCCACAGAAGTTAGGGAGGGATGTCTGACTGACAGCTTAGGACCGCCCCTCACTCCTCGCATTGGCTGGATATCCCTTGAGGGCTCTCAGACTTCAGGAGGAGGCAGGCGAGGCTTCAGGACACCTCCCTCCCCCCACCCCAAGTGCACAGATTTGCTGGACAAGGGAAAATCACTGGCTCAATCAAAAGGAGGCATTAAATTAAGGCATTAAATTCCACTTGCACAATGGAATACTACTTGGCTATAAGAAAGGAAGGAAACCTTCCCTTTGCAGCCACATGGATGGACCTGGACCGTTTTGTGTAAGTGGAATAAGCTAGTCAGAGAAGACAGGTACGCGTGGTTTCACTTGTACGTGGAACCTAATGAACATAGTAAACTAACAAATAATATAGAGACAGACTCACAGATACGGAGCTGTAGGAGGGGAGGGGACTTGGGGGGCTGGGTGAAAAGGGCGAAGGGATTAGGCACAGGAATAAAAAAAAAATCC